CTCCTTATCCGAGAAGAGAGTCGGCAAGCGAGCACACAGCCAGCAGGAACGCCCCTTCCGCGCTCAGATAGGGACTGTGCATAGGTACTGTTCTGTCGATTCAACACCGAACACCTTTGGACATACTGGATTGCTTCCTCCTTTACTAAGTTTTATCTGGTTTTGCTACTGTAGTTCTTAGTTCTTGCCAATGCGCAATTTATTCAGTATGGCACCGGGGACGCGGAAGGTTTCCTTGGCAACGATACCGTACGATTCGGTCTGGAAGATGACAATAATACCTTGGTCGTTCCTGGAACCGTATTTGGCCAAGCGCTACGAATCGCCGAATTCTTCGCTGACGTAAGTGCATTCATACTAGATCACATTGTACAGTCTTGGTCACTGCGGATTATGAGGCGTGCCAAGGGACGGGCTTGGCGCGGCGCCAGCCTAATTTTTATCTTTTGGCAAGCGACATGAGCGTATCATATTCTTCGCATCAATCGGTTCCCATCAATTGCCGCTTATCCTGGGCACGCCATCGTTGTGATGATCACAACGGGGGGGGGTCGTATTTGGTCTGAGAAAAATTTTTTTGGTAGTTGATTTCTCTTGTTTCACGGACGGCTATAAAGGGGGGGGGTCGTATTTGGCCGTTGTTGGAGAGAGGGACTGCTAAAGATCTATACAACCCCGTAGTCTATACAACTATTATTTCCGATAGTTGAAAATGATAGTTAAATCCTGACGACCTCCCTCCTCGCTCGATAGCCAAATTTTGAGGGAAAACCAGAAGGAAATTCCGGAGAAACCGGTACCCCCCTCCCCGCTCTCGACGGAAAACTCTGTAGCTTGAAAAAACTGAAACTATTTTCGAAATCTAGAAAAGTAATCACGTAGCATGGGGAGGGGAGGTCGTATTCGAGATAGAACTACGGGGAGTACCTATTTTTCAGACAATTATCACAAAGCGATAGCGTGCCCTGCGCTTACCTGCTCCAACGATTTGTGGGGGAAGGGGAGATGGCGCGGTGCCAAACTCACGCCCCCCCCCCTCCCGGACACGCCGTTCATAGGCACCTAAGAAGGCTGTATTCTGTTGATCCGAGCTTTCTCTATAGACATCCTAACAGTCATGACACGTTTTAGGATCCAATCGATGGAATTCTTGGACTAGGGTTCAAATCACTTGCTGTCAAAAAGTGGTTCCACCTTTCGAACGAGCTGTGGAATTGAAATTAGTGGAACCCATATTTACCGTCTACTTAATGCGCTTGGGAGGTAAAATTGTACACAGTAATGACCACAGAGCGAGGGAGGCCTCCTCCACCGAAACGGAACATTGGCGGGAAGGCTGCCCTGGCTCCGCTCCCGGTTACGCCCTTCGCAAACCCTATCATTTGGTGGAACTGTGAGTAAAACTGCAGAACAGGCGCACTCGGACTCTAGTTACTTTTTTCAGCGCCTGAGGGTCAATATGGAGGAGTTTATACGTACGGCGGTCTTGACACGGAAAATTGCGGTCATGTGATTGCATACGAAAAACTTACACATGCTTCTTATTGGCAATTCCGTGTAAGTGCAGAAATTTGAAGGGTCAATGCGATTTATCCACCAAAAACCGTAATGTTACCCAAATGCTGAGTTATGGGCAAAAATCACTCCACAGGCGGCACTAAAACCCACAATTGACGCTCGCCAGGCTGACCATTACCCCCGCTAGGGCTGCGGTCATACTTTGCGGCAGCGTCCACCAAGCGACCAATAACGTTCAGCGCGCGTTCCGAGCGTCCGGCAGCGTCGCGACTAGGAAAGTATAGATATCGATCTAGCGTCTACCAGCGTCCACCAGCGCCTTGAGGGATAGGGGGGGGTATAACTAGATATCGATCCAGCGTCTGCCAGGGTTTGCCATCGCCTACCAGCGTCCATCAGCGACCAGCAGAAGACTGCTAGTAGAGGGTATGGTGCGATAGGAGAGTGCCACCTGCCTGCCATCCTCCTGTCTGCCCATACTTTACCAGCAGCCTGCAGCAATCCTTTTTCCCCATACTGTACCAGCTGTCTGCTACCATCCTGTCGCGCCGTAGTCGCCACTCCCGGACGCTGTAAGACGCTGATGGATGCTATTAATCGCGACGCCTTCGCAAAGTATAAACACAGCCTTGCCCTTTCAGCTCTTACAGTTTTTCGTGGCTAGCGCACTCGTTCGTGGAGCGTGAGGTACTGGATCGCATCCTGCCTGGAGTATGGCTTTTGGACCATAACTCAGCACTCTTGTGATAATTTTCAGAGCGCCAACTTCGGCGTTAGACAGCAATTATCATGATAGAAAATAGATTTACAGTTTTTCATTTTTGTTCCAGATGAAGGAATTTAGTGCGGGATATCTTACCGTCAAGAAAGGATGGGAAGTGATTTCCGATACAGGCACTTCTATGCTGGGCATTCCGTCAGCAATCGCTGCTATGACCGCGGATTCTTTCGGGGCCACAGTGAGTTCTGGAACGTTTTCGAGGCAAAATCAGAGTGCGAAATATACAGGGGGGCAATAAAAAAAGTCACTTTTCTTCCTTGACTTTCGAGGCGCTATAAGTTACACTTTATTAAATTCTGATCGGACATTTCCACCACCATATTCAAAGAGCATATTAAATACTATCATGACACTCCGCCACAGCCTTCTGGACGAGCGCCATCGAGAGATTCTGGCACGCGACCGCGATGTGGTGCCTGAGATCAGCGAGATAGTCGATTTCTCCGCCACCGTAGACCACCCTATTGAACTCCGCCCGAACCGGGTAATTGAGGGGATTCAGGTCAGGTGACCTACTTGGATATTCCATCTTCTTTAGGTACTCAGCCCCCTTCCATTCCAAGTAGGCGAGAGTTTCTCCAATGCCCTTCGATTCCATGTGGTGGCACCCAATGCTGTAGCAGTACAAAGTTTCCAAGAAGGTACGGGCGACGACATGTGAGGAGGATATTCTTCTCGAGTTGCTCGATGTAACCGCTCACCTTCAGTCCGGGTCCACGAAGAAAATATCGGTCTTCCATTCCAGGTACGTCCGGTCCATACCATCAACCCGCGCCTTGGCGACTGTGGTGAAGATGATGTCCTAGACCGTGGCGACGTTGTCGGAGCTGCTCGATGTTGGAGGTCTTCCAGATCGAGAGTACTGGTCTCCAGGTAGCTATCCATGGGTGACTCCATACTAGAAGTTTCGCAGCTGTTTGGAGGTGACATGAATTCCAAAGGTCTTCTCCAGTCAGGCTGCGACTGGAGATGACTTCATATTTTGGTGTACATGAAGGTGATGGGCGAGAGCCAGCTCCTGCTTATCGAGGAACATCTTGGGTATCTTCCGCCCTGGTACTCGTATCCACGTCCTCTGTCTGGGCTGCGAAAACTTTGCTGATATGTGACTCGGTCGAAGTGACTTTTTTTTGCCCCCCTGTATGTTCAAGGTGTATTTTCAAAAAAAACACTAAAACCTTAGTTTGTTTCAGCTTCGATGAGTTGTACGGTGTCTATACTGTCGATTGTAATGTGACTGCGACATTTTACTTGACTATTGGCGATCATGTCTATACAATCAATTCGGAAAATCTTGTTATTATGCTCGGCGAAGACGTGTGCGTGATGTCATTATTATGCTCGGCGAAGACGTGTGCGTGATGTCATTTTTCGCGATGGAATCTGGAGGATTTGGACCGCAAGTGGATTCTGGGCGATCCGTTTATTCGCGAGTACTGCAACATCCACGACGTCGGCAATAAGCGAATCGGCTTTGCTAGATGTGAAATCTAAAGAAATAGTTACTACGACTACTTTTGCATCTACTGCTACAGAAGTAGTTACTACTATGACTACTCCTGCGTCCACTACTACAGAAGTACTTACTACTATGACTACTCCTACGTCTACTACTACCGAAACACCTACCTAAATTGACATTCCTTGGCGTCTACTACTACCGAAACACCTACTATGACATCTCCTACGTCTACTACTACCGAAACACCTACTATGACATCTCCTACGTCTACTACTACCGAAACACCTACTATGACTACTCCTACGTCTACTACTACCGAAACACCTACTATGACTACTCCTACGTCTACTACTACCGAAACACCTACTATGACTACTCCTACGTCTACTACTACCGAAACACCTACTATGACTACTCCTACGTCTACTACTACCGAAACACCTACTATGACTACTCCTACGTCTACTACTACCGAAGTGTGACTACTTGATTGTAAAGATTCCCAAAGTAAAGCTGGCTTTTCGTATGAAGCTTTCTGTTTCATTAATTAAAGTTATTAGAAGCAATCATCACCTTACAAGGTGCCGTGGCATCTTATACCAACTCGTTTCAAATTGGACACTCTACAGTTCGAATCAGACACTTTTCAAATTGAAATGGACGGTATTCAAACCAGTTACAACACTTCTGAATCATGTTCAACACACTTTTTACAGTGGGCTTTTAGTTTAGCACACCATTGAATTTACTGCAAGCTCCTCCCCCAAAGCCGCGTCCACTCTTCAGTGCGCTCATGGTCTTCGGACCTAATTTTTATAAGTTCTTTTTGTGAGATTCATCTTTCTGCTATGTTGCACATGAGCACTAACAGAAAACGAATGATCAACTGGCCACAACAACAAGGATTATTTCAAGAACTGGTTTGTTTCGGTTTTTATAATTTTTTTCTTACAGTTCTTGCTTACACACCCACAGTGAAAGTACTCATAGACACGCATTTACAAACTGACACACCAAACTCCTCAACGATAGCCATACTCAGGGATTTCCACGAATTTTATAGAAAAATTAGAACAAAGTTTCCTTTACGAAAATTCCAAAATGCACCCGATCCCGCCTACTGCGGAGGGATCTGCCCACTTTGACTGAGTCTCGCCACCTTCCATGCTGTAAAATGCCCTAAGCATAGCACAAAAGTGGGAGGGACTTGCGCAGAAAGGTATTAGTCTCTCCAGTGGGCCGGGGGGGGGGGAGCCAGGTGTGGCTCAAAACAGTGAAAGATTTGAAGAAGGATCAAAACTGAGGTGGCACCAGGAAATACCAGACAACGCAGACAAGGAAGAAGTAGCGCAGGATGCGCTTGATATTCGGAGGCGTGCAGGAACCCCTCCCGTGTACTTTTGTATTGAAAGTCTGAAAGTGACGCGCTTCACAGGATCGCTTCCGAACTGTCCGCAGGCTCTTCACGGTAAAGAGCTTTAAATTGATGAGCTGTGAGCTGTGCGTCGATCCCCTGTGAACTCTGAAATTTCCTTTGTGGATCGTTTCCCTAGCTACACATCGAAACTCGACTTTCTCACAAGTATATCAGGTCCCTAGAAAGCCTCACAATATATCAGCTATCTATAGGAAGCTAACTCTCAGTGATTTCAACACAAATGTATTTTAACACAAGTAGAGGGGGGGGGCATTCTTGTTAGTCCACGAGTAACTAACGCGATACACTCTGGCAAGAGCTGTAGACTCAGTGAAATTGCAAATGGTGTAAGTGCGACACTTTGGCCTTGTGACTTTACAAGTCTTCACACGGTTGCCTGCAGCACAAGATTATCTGGCACTATGCTGCCCCTACCAAGTCGAATCAAAAGCAGGGCACATAAGGTTGGGGATTTTGGGCAAGTCCGTACGACCCCCACCCCTCCTTTTTTTGCGTTTTTGAAAGTTAGCTCGATCCCCCTCCTGCCCTCTGTTCAAGCGGGGGAAGGAGGGGGGGGGGGAGAAATATAGTACACATGAAACAGGCACATCACAAAAAAATCAACCACCTCTCCCAAAAGGCTAGAAAGTAAGGCGAAACGTAAGCACGAACCCCCGCCCTTCTGAACAATGAGCAAGTACGACCCTCCCCCTTTACAACGTCCGTGAAGCGAGAAAAATCAACTATCAAAATAAATTTTTCTCAGCCAAATACGACCTCCCCTGTCCAAACAGGACCCCTTGCTGGGAATTCCCCAAAAACGCTGTGCCCTAATCAAGAGGGCCACAGACACAATTGGGAAGGGTCGCATTCCCTCTAGAAAGAATCTCACGAACAGATCAACGCTCTGGTCTTACCATTAGCCATAAAACGCTTGCACGGACGGAGACCATCATAATGTGAGAGTACAACGGAAGTAGTGCGAACTTAGGCAAACAGATGACGCTTCACTTGGCCAGGGGCGCATTGTTTGCCAAAAC